ATGAACTAAAATTCAAACATATTCATTTGTATTGTCCAGATGATGCATTGTTCTACGAAAAATTGAAGCACGGGAGATTTTTATTAGATCCTTAGGCCAAAGTTAGTGCTTTTTCCCCTATTTCTTTTTTTACACCAATCTCTTCTGATTGGGATGCTACACAGAGAAAAAAAATTACCCTAAATTTAAGTTCTTTTTACTTAATTTTGGGTAATTTTGTGTTTTGCATCCCACTCTCACTTTTTGTTGTTGTCAAAAACGGAACGAGAGATTCGACTTTCTCGTGACTATCGTTCAATAAGCTACTAGTGAGTATATGAGATATTCTCAAATTTAAGTCAATTCCCAACAAACAATCGTCTATTGAAGAAACGACTTGTTGGCCATTTTATTCAACTGTACTATTTTTAATAATAACTTCTGTTCAGGCTTTGTTCACACAAATCTGGAGAATTTATTCAACCACAACATTGAACTACTGGTGTTGTATAAGGTATGTCGAGAAGCATTTAATCGACTTATATAAGTTGTAACAGAGTTTATGCGATACAATTTTTGATTATTCAGCGTTTATTAGACATCACTGCTTCCTTAAAACAGTGATTCTGTATACGCTTGATTCTCATGTGGAGTAACGTTTAATTAGAAATTATTATACATTTATTAAACGATTATTCAACTGTGGGAAAATTAACCCGAAAATAAGAGGGACGGGGGGGGGGGGGCAGGGATGGGTGTGTTTCTTAAGTGTGTATTGTATTTCATTATTTCTGACGTGGCTCGCACCGCACAGATATTAGAAAATTAATTAAATACTTATACGTGTCGTTGTATGGAATTCGAACCATGTACCTTCCGATCACCAGCCGCTTGCCTTGTCATCTGAGCTATCCTAGAATTCATCATATGGGCAACTCAATAATCAATAAAAGCTTGCTTGAAATTAAATATCTATCAGCACTCCCGATCGCAACTATAGCTCCTTCAAGGCCCTGTGGGAATGATTAATTCATTCATCGTTGTTTTAAAGAAGACAAATGTTGCCTCTTCACATCTCCAAGTCGAAAGAAAGGGTGCTCGGTTATATTTTAAACTAGATTAATGCATTCATTATCGTGAGTCATGTGATCGATGATTACTATTTAAATTAATTATGTTCTACACAAATAAAAAAAAAAAAGGTTTGAGCTTCGGATTGAACTCACGACCTTCTATTTGGAAAGCGGAAACGATAACCACTCCATTACTGATTTCGCCTTGTTGTAAGACTAAATCAGTGTTGTCGAATAATGAATCTAATACGTCGATTATGAAGCATTTACAAATCCTGTGATTGCTACATGGACACATAGTGGTATAAGAGCTATTATGTTGACTGTATTCACCTTTATTCAGCAATATTCTAAAGCAATGCAATGAAATTTAATAATGGAGCTAGAGAACATCTATTAGACGTCTAATAAAGCATGTTATTAAATCAATTGAAAACAGTCGAATTAAAGTGTGACTGTATGTACAAATTACACTTATTCAGTTTGTTATTAGATCGAACTTCTGGCGTTGAATTGGGAATACATTTAACACTTTTACAGCTTTAAATAAGTAAATTAATCAGATCAGAGAAAACAGTTGAATAAATGTGCATCTATCGATTTCAATGAGCTTTTTCAGCACATAATTCGACAACTCTTTTTGTTCAGCATTGTACACTGTTATACAGCATTTATTTAATATACACTGAAGTCTTTTTTTGTACACGGTTTTTTTTTACGCGGTTTTTTTTACACGGTTTTTTTACACGGTTTTCCACGATTTACACGGTACGTTTTTAACGATTTCTCGACAACGATACAACCTATCGACTTGATTCCAATCACATTATCCGTTTCAAGCTATTTGTAATCGAATGGCATACTTAAAAAAAATCACAATTTTTGGTGTAAATACAGAAATTTTTAAAATAGGGTTTTTGATCTAATTTCCGTCCTACTAAGGACATCCCGCACTTTACCACGCTTTTTGAAAAGCGTTTGAACAAAACATGGAATGTTTTTATCAAAGATAACTTCTAAATTTATCCACCTTTCCATACGTACCGTACCGTTGGATTTGATAAAGAGTCAAACAATTTTGAGATATTATTAAAAATCTAACACTGCTTCTTGCTTCTAAATTCGTCCTACGCGTTTCAATTCCGTCCAAACGCATTGAAACGCCATTAGATTTTCTTCGTCCTACTGATAAACGGAGAAAAAGGGGATGCGCTAGGAGCGCTTCTTTTGTTTTGAGAACAATGAGCGTAAATATGCATACAACGCGCTCTAATAGGGTTTATGTCGTAGCTAATGAACTAACGCATCGGAACAAACGTATTATTGTTTTGTGCATGGTGAAATCATTGATATTATTGATGATTTCTGCTCGATAGAACGGAAATGGGCGATTACGACGAAGTAGCGCTCTGTCTATATGGACCATATCATGCTTTAATTACAAATTGCATCAAAATCCGATTTTTTAAAATCATTTAAGCATGCGAAAAATCAAAATCTCGTTGGTTTTTTTTTACACGGTTTTTTTTTTACACGGACCGTATCCCCCGTGTAAAAAAAGACCTGAGTGTATATGCTTATTTGTGACTCTGAATTGTTTGTTGGGTGGTATAAGAGCTATTTTGCTTAGTGTATTCACCTTTATACAGCAATATTGTAAAGCAATTCAATGAAATCTAATAGGGGCTAGAAAACATTTATAAGACGTTTAATAAAGCGTTTTATTCAATCAATTTAAAAAAGTCGAATTAAACCGACAATGTATGTGTAAATTACACTTATTCAGTTTGTTATTAGATCAAACTTCTGGTTCTGAATAAGGAAGACGGGCAACGTTCATAAAGCTTTTAATAAGGAAATTAATCATATCAGAGCAGGCGGAATAAAGGAGCATTTATCGATCTCAATGAGCTTTTTTCAGCACATAATTCGACATCCTGTTTTATTCAGCATTGTACACTGTTATACAGCATTTATTCAATGTGTATGCTTATTTGTGACTTTGAATTGTTTGTTGGGTTGAACTTAATTTTGGGTAGAAAATACTCACGAGTAAGTAATTTTTTTTTTCCGTATTTAAATGTAAACTAATATAAGCGGTTTACTGAAAATTAGCTTGCACGGTTCCGTGTAAGAATTAAATATATCATTAAAGTCAACTCTCCCTTACTCGATCCCTCCTTAATTCAATTCTCCCTAACTCGATGGAAATCCAGGGACCTCATTTTGCAAGTCGAATCAAACTACCTATCCCAAAGCGACTAGGCTACTATATATTGATTCCCTAAAACCTGAAAATGTTACGTTGGTGATTAAGAATGCACAACTAGCATTATAAAATTGAAATTGTCACTGCAAGACACTTCTGATCAAAAGGCTTACCTAGATGTAACTATCTAGGAACGATTGCGCAATAATAGTGTGAACCAATGAACCAATGGAGAGCAGATGATTTCTTAAATATTTTAACAACAATCTAAAAATAGAAAACACTCAAAAATATGTTACCCAAAAACCGTGTTAAAAAGTCCAGTTCATACCCTTTTTAGTTTTTACCCTAATGGGTTATTTTGTAACAAGGTGTGTTAAAAATATGATATAACCCTAACAATAGTTGTTTTATTCTTGATAGTATGTAGAAGATTTCTTTTTATATTTTTTTTTTGTTATTTTATTTACTAACGGTACATGTTTTATAACAGACCATGTTACGAATAATTTTATATCTCAGTAACACAGTGTGTATTATTTCTGATACTGCGGGTCATTCTCCCGCAGTTCTGAAGTAACGAGTTAACGTTACACTCATCGTTACATAAGAACAGGTAGAGAATGAAAGAGACGAAAAATGCTCTTTGGTGAACCTATTCTCTATGACATTGGATTTGATATGATGTGATATGATATGGAGAACTACCACTCACTGTAGCCAGACAACTGTCGGTAGACTGTGGACTATCCTCGCTGTTCAACTTGATCAAGTTTAATAACCTCTAATTGTACTGAACTTTCCATTATATGAAGAGCCAAAACCGGTTTGAGTGAATCCGTGGGCAACATCGTCCACGAGCATTCACGGGATAAATGAGAATCTCCTTCCAACAACAGGATCATACAACCGGTAAAAAAACAGGCCATCCAACAGGAGGATGTCCCAATGAGTGGGGAGAAGAGCCGGTCCTCTTTCCAAGAAATGTTAAAGACAGGGAGTTAGCATTTCCATTCTCCCCGTCCATTTCGCTTCAATCGGGTGCCCTTTTGAACTCTCCCGTACCCATGCTTTTGATACCGTGGGTTTCAATGCCATAATCGAAGCTGCGCATTATCAAGGGATCCCTTCTATTATTACCAATTGGATTTACCAGATGCTCAAAAACCGAAATCTCTTCTCAACCTTTCGCCTAGTAGAATCTAAAGGAGGAGTCTTGTAACCACTTATTTCGGCCAGTTCAAGGTTGATATAATGAAAAATTCTGAAGGGTTAATGGACATTTCCTTGGTGGTGTTTTTTAAGAGAACTCGTAAGGAAATTCTAAGTTGTTACTGAATTTAATTCCAAGATAATTATAATAAAAATTTCATGGGAATTTTTAGTTAAATTTCAAATTAACGCTAAATAGAATTCGGTGGGAATTCAAAATGCATTCTGAGGCGAATAACAAACGTTATCTTAGGATAAGTTCAGTGAAATTCTCTGATTTCCATGGATATCGAATATTGACGATATTGTGAAGATAAATTCAAGGGATTTTTCCAGGTATTTCTTCAACGGTGTTTCTGAAGAGAATTATAAGGTATTTCTGCAAAAAAATCTCCATGAGATTCTGAGGAAAATTTAAAGTGAATTCGCATATTTTTTGGGAGCATTCCAAGGATATCATTACATGTTAGCATTCTCAATAGAGTAGACTGATAGTTCTTCCACATTCTCATCAATTCCTATTTCAGATGTGACAACATCAAGGACTGCCAAAACGGCGAGGACGAAGCAGACTGCAAGTTCTGCGAACGGGACGAATACCGTTGCCTGTCGAACGACAAATGTATTCCGGATAAATGGCGATGCGATCAGTATGAAGACTGTCCGGATGCGTCGGATGAACTGGACTGCTACTATGATGAACCGACCACATTCCCGACGGGATTCGGTAGCCAACGGGAGTATCCATTCGTACAGGTGCAAGTGCCCAACAGTCCTGTTAATGGGTAATTTTGTAAAAACTATAATTTGTTTGATTTTCTAAAATTTCTAAAATTTGATTTCAGCAAACCATATTTGACGATCACCAACGAGGATCGGGAACGAAACCAGCAGCAGGAACGTAAGGCTCGTCCCTATCCAGACTATGACACCTCGCGAGAGGACGAGTATGAACCGACTGCTGCAGAGAACGTTCCACAGGTCAATCGAAGGAACCGAACCGAAACGGTTGAGAACCGAACGGAACGGGTGGAAGATCAGACCGAAGCGGAAACCAGCCAGACAATTTCCGTTCCCAAATCTTTGAGTAAATCAACATTGAGTTGATGGTTTAATGCCTTGAATTACATTAAATGTCGCATTTGTGCTTTCGCAGGTAACTTTCAGGACAGCAAGGAAATTATGATGACTTCAGATTCCGAAAATGACTACAAGTACAGTAGCACAAGTAGGTCATTCCTTACGACCGCCCACGCATCGCCTTGTCCCGAAGGGGAACTGCGATGCGTTAGCGGTATTTGCATTTCTGTGAGCCAACTGTGTGATAAAGTGAGTTAATTTTGTAATTATGTACCTTGGTGAATAATACTGTTACTATTTTCAGGTTACTGACTGCGCCGATGGCGCCGATGAAGCCATGTGTGTTTATAAGGAATAATACTCGGTAGAGGAACAAACCGAATCCAACCAAGACAAAAACTGAAACCATGACCAGAAAGATTTTTTATATAGCATAGCACTGCCCAGAGATTGATTCTTCTTTCTCCTCTCTTTCCAGTTTAGAAAAGGGATATGATCGAATTGTATTTATAGAGTGATTTTACCTGTTAACTTGTTATTAGTGCCGCGGAGCAATTTGTTAGCCTCATAAGCCAAGATATGGAAGCATCTACTCTGCATCACATTTATCGTTACCATTGTTGAAGAGTTACCCCCATGATGTGTATTATTAGACGATTAAGCGCTAGGACATTATGTGTAATAATTAATAGCAGATAAGCTGAACGCGTTGGAGTGCCGAAATAGTCCACAAAATGGGAAGTTTTGTGGAGCATATTACGCGAAGCCAATGTTTGAAAATTACATTCAAAATTTACGTTCTAATCGGTAGCAAAGCGTTGTAAATAAGCCATTTCTATCTTTTGACTCATTCCATATAATCTGTTGTAAATCTTTTTTCAATAAATTTTACGTTGATTACTTAAGATGGAGAACTTTTCTTTGAATCACAAGTCCTTTGGTTTTTCAATCAAATCATTTATTTGAAAGGCTCAATCGCGGGAGCTTTAAGAAACCGTTATTTCTATGTTAAGTTGAATGTTTACAAAAATCACTTAAATCGTTATCTAGTGTGGGTGATGGAGAGAGGAGCTTGGAAATAGTGTTTCGTAGTCTCATCAGGACGTTTCACATGCTTTGTAAAATCCATAACGTGGGTAGATCACCTTTTCGTGGTACGTTACGGGATGTAAGATCTACCACCAATTCCTAGTCCTGACTACTTCAAACTAGGGGAACAGGATTTTTCAGTAATCCAAGGAACACATCTTAGCCCTTGTTACTTTTTATGCCTTGTTGATAGTGACAAGACTCGGCTTTGCCCACCGAAGATGATCTTGAAACAGGGAAAAAAAAAGTTAGTAAGACTTCATCTATGTGATTCCCAATCTTATATTCGTTGTTCCCTAGTTTGAAGTGGTTAAGACTAGGGTTCTAATGCATGGTCATTATCGGTGTCATTCCTTAATTTTGTTGCTAAGGAATCAAATTTTGACTGATAAAGGGGTTCCAACACTCCGAAGGGTATAAATAGCGGGACATTTCAATTAGAGTCGGATCCTTGCGATAAATGCAAGAGTGGCAACTGTAAAAAAATCGAATACATCATCATTTCTCAATAGTGATGGAGTAATACAACACTAAACTAAGGACACGGGATATACACAATAGATCAAATTACTGGTCGCAGTGGTATTAGGTCCCGAACAGAGGAAAAAAATCATGGCAATAAGACAAAATTATATTAATGAAAAAAAGGCACAACAAAAAGGTTACCTTACCTCATATCTCCAGTCCTACGCTACGAATTCACATGAACTCACGTATTAGGGTTAACACATCACGAACAGCAGTATAATTTGGGGATTCTCCACCATCGTCATCAATGGCAATCACGCTCCCGCTCTTTCTCTTGCCGGCGAGAAAAGTATGACTCATTTATGTACACTTAGAGTACCACCCGAGCGAAGACCACGACGGAGGGTGGTAGACCGTCGAAGCAAAACAAAAATATAAACATCGCGCACGATAACATAATAGTGCTGCTGTTGTGTACTATGCCAGGCCCATTCCACCGACCATTCAGCTTTCCGGACTCCATCAAAACTTGTATGGGAGGGTGGGCAGCAAAGATCGCACGGCCGATGAGACATATTTACGCGAATTGCACAAGACTTCTGACCTCCTTCGATTGTGATAAGAACAATGTAAGGGTATATGCCTTCCGATGGAAGATATGTCAATCTACAACAAAACGCACACACAAAAACGCACAAGACGTAAAGTGGGCTAGTGGGCAAGAAAGGATACTATAGACCATTGATTCTCAACCTCAGGTTCGCGAACCTCCACTAAGCGAATAGCACATAGAATAGAAGCGAGCTTGACCGCGTGGTGGGGGAACGTTGAGAATCGATTCCATAGACGAAATATGCTGGTTCAAAGCATAGGAAGCACGATGGCTTCGGTGAGTAAGAGGGAATTTTTATGAAGTCCTCTTCGGCGATGGAAAATCCTTTTTTTTTCCTGCTGCTATCCCAAATCAGATGCATGACCTAGAAGAAGCGTAAAACCTTGAACAGATTTTCAGATTATTCGAACCCGTGGATATGAATAATCGTTTCTTTTTACGATGCAGCGTAGACATTTGATTTGCAGATGGCTAAGGAAGCTTTTCAGTTAAGGGCTGCGATGCGATGGCATGGAACGGACGAGATTCAATTGATTATGTAATGTAATATAAAAACGAAAAAAGTTTATTCAGCTTGCAAATCGACTTCGTTCGTATGGAAATAAGAAATATGTCTCGAAAGAAGTTCTTTCTGGTGGATTTTATTTGACTACAGGATTTGATGTTTTCAATTCTTCCTGGCTTTTGCGTTCCAACTGCAGCACATACCCGCAATTGAATATTCTTTTAAGCACTTTCACAGCTCATCATCATAAGATATCTACTTACAGCATAATTTTGTATGCATGCATATTGTGTTACGAACATTCTTGATGTTTAAAGACCATTCTAAAGCGTGCTACTGCCAAAGTTTGGTTTAGTTAGAGTCATACAATTTGAATCAAAATACTTTTAGTTGGGAAAAATATATAAAGAAATATATAATATATAAGAAAAGAGCCAACAGTTTCTTCGGTTGTCATGGTTATTGTTATCAAAAACAAAAATAAATCAGATCGTGTGTCGCGTGTACTTTACACAAAGGGTAATTTTCAAAATTTTCAAAAATATCTCAATTTGTTTTGGATAAGATATTGTCGTCAGCGTATTAGATATTAGTAATTAGCATGGGATTTCAATTGCCTACGTAAATGTTTATGATCGTATTCTTTGTAAACTATATAAAGTAAGCGCCATAACGTGGGTAAATCACCTTTTCGTGGTGCGTTACGGGATTTAAGATCTACCACCGATTCCTAGTCTTGACTACTTCAAACTAGGGGAACAGGATTTTTCAGTAATCAAAGGAACACACCTTAGTCCCCTTTTTTTTCCTTGTCGGGTATTTTATTGACTGCGACTATTTTTCTGATCTATTGTGATATATTCCCCATTTTTTTTTGACGTAGAACTACGTCTTTGTCGACTAAACTGGGGTGCAAATAAAAAAATATGTGTGATGAAGGAGTGTTAGGTTTTGAACGCTTGTAACTTTGTCATTTATAAATGAAATTTAAATCCAAATGCGCCAACCGATAGGATATTACATTACGAACCTGCTGAAATAAATATTTTTCCAATTTTTCTGTAATTACACTTTTGAAAATGTACAAATGATAATTTTATAACTGTTTTCATGAAATAAGCCTTTTTCCCAAACCAAGTCATCATAAAAGAATACCACTTGGTTGCACATCATTCTGCTTGAACCTGAAAAGATATAAATCAGCGCTGCTCTCCTGCCTTTGCTCATTACAGCTTCGGACGGCGTGGCACTAGGTCCTGCATCAAGCAGGACCAAGTCAGCTGCCAAAGCTGGATCACGGCGTGTCCACCACAATGAGGAATGAGACTTGAAAAAACGTGCATGTAAAACCCGCTCCCCCTAAACAACCTCGCCCCCTCCCCCCTTAACATAACCCGAAAAAGACATGGACTTTGACGATCATTTTTTTTCGGGAAATAAATTTTAAGCAAACCACAATTATGTATAAACAATTAATTTTTTACATACAGAGCCAACATTTTCAAAAAAAAAACAATTGCTTAACACTCGATGAATTACCAACAACGGACTGTAAATCATATCTGGTACCTCTATAGATGCAATTATATTAACATCCAAAGTCCATCCTTTTTTACATATTCTGCACAAAAGAAACTCCGCCCCATTTATAAAAAAAACGGCGGGAAATCCTAACAGGTACCGTTGCACATCGTTCTGCTTGAACCTGAAAAGATATAAAACAGCGCTGCTGTCGTGCTTTTGTTCATTGTCGCTTCGGACGGCGTGGCACTTGGTCCTGCAGCAAGCAGGACCAAGTCAGCGGCTAAAGGTGGATCACATCGGGTGGATCAGGTGGATGTGACCACAATGAGGAATGCGATACAATGAGGAATGAGGAAAAGCAATGTATGTAAACCCCCTCCCTCCTTCACAACAACCTCTCCACACCTCAACAACCTCTCCCCCTCCCTCCTTAACATAACCCGAAAAAGACATGGACTTTGACGATCACTTTTTTTCCGGGAATCATAGATTGAGATAGATCGATAGGTTCTACGTCATACTGCGGTCGTGTCTAGGACACAACCCTTTAATTTTTTTTTCTTTAGCTATATCAAGATGCCGTATCACTATTATTAGGTGTGATCGCCATCGTTTGACTAATAGCATTATCCCAGCACGGCATTATACTTCGAATAAAGTGCACTGCCGTACTGGGAGTTGTTCTCCAAATGTCAAAGGGTTCTATCAGCCCCTTGTCGAAGAACTTACGCCTTTTATTGAAAATTGCCGGACAGTGGCATACACAGCAAAAAAATAATTTTGATATCACATCAAAGTGGATGCACTACTATCATGTCGAAAATTTCATGTAATTTTTATGACCACATAAATAAACAAATGCAGTAAAAGCAGCGTAATGTGAGTTCATGCATTGTATTAATGATAATTTTGTCCTTTTTAGCAAGTAATATTACACCATATTTTCGACATGATTGTAGTGCATCCACTTTGACGTGATATCAAAATTATTTTTTTGCTGTGTAGCAAATGTTCCGAGTCTTCCTTTTCTATGCCACAGAAGCAACATACATCATCTTGAAGTTTTCCAATTAGCTTCAAGAGATAACGGCTCGGACAATGACCTGTTATAAGAGCTGCATATATACTAAGATCTTTCTTAGAAAGTACCAGGATTTTTTGGGTCACATAAATGTTTGGATTAATGAATCGCTTCGAGTGCCTAGCAATAGAAGTGTTCTTCCAGTTTTCCTCCACTTTTGAAGATTCCCACGCTTTTAACTCCATTCTAAGAGATGCAGCCGATAAACCACAAAAGGGCTCTGGCCCGATGAACTTATGAGAAGATGCAAGTCTTGCTAGTGCATTAGCTCTTTCATTTCCCTCAATCCTGCAATGACCAGGAACCCAATATAAGTTGACTTAATTATGACAAGACAATTTTTGAAGTGATTGAACACACTCCCAGCTCCAAACAAAAAAAAAAATAGTCCTTGTTACTTTTTATGCCTTGTTGATAGTAAGTCCTCGGGTTGCCTGGACCTAGGATGATCTTGAAACAAGGAAAAATGAGTTAGTTAGTTAGTCTTCACCTATGTGATTCCTAATCTTCTATTCGTTGTTCCCTAGTTTGAAGTGGTTAAGACTAGAGTTCTGATGCATGGTCATTATCGGTGTCATTGTTTGTTTTTGTTGCTAAAGAATCCAGTTTTGACTGACAAAGGGGC